TTCTAAAAATAGAAAAAGTAGCCAGGTGTAGTGGCACATGCCTATAGTCCCCACTACTTTGTAGTCTAAGGCAGGAGGATTGCTTGAGCCCAAGGGACTAAGGTTACTGTGAACTAGGCTGACTCTACCCCAAGGCACTCTACCCAAGGCAACAGAGTGAGACTTTGTCTTAAAAAAAAAAAAAAATGCAAAATGCAGGGCCTGGAAGATACCTCAACAACTAGCCTTAGGTTTCACAATCTACAGAAACAATGAAGAAAGCTAAGAATTTTTATGACTGTCAGCTATTTGACTACTGAGTAGTAAGCAATTAGAGGAAAGTAAGCTAGGAAACATGGCTGGTTATATGTATGTCTTAACTATGCCTACACCTTTGCGGAGTACAACCTCCTAATACAGTTCCTACTTTGTAGCCCTTTATTAATTTTTTTTTGGCCAGGTCCGGGTTTGAACCCACCACCTCTGGCATATGGAGCCGGTGCCCTACTCCTTGAGCCACAGGCACCGTCTGCCCTTTGTTAATTTTATAAAAGGCAGTCTCAATACCAGTTCTAAAATTCAAGAGAATTCTAAATGGACTAAAAATTCACCAATCCAACATATTTAATCTACTGATTTGAGAAGCAGTGTGTATGCAACTTGCAATATATTTTTATCCTTGATGATAAAGTTTAACTTAACTCTTCGGTTACTGCAATCTAACTGGTATTATCTAAGCTTGCACTTGCTCCCTTTTTTTTTTCTTTTTTTTGTTAATGGAGTTAATATTTACTTAGTTCATTTTGTATCATATGGTCTCCAGTGGTACTGAGGAAGTAGTTCAATGTACAATTTAACACCAAAAAATTATCAGAAGTGTATGTACCACTGATAGAGAAGAAAATTATTTAACCTTGCTTTCTATGTAATTCATTTTTGCCCTCATGCAAAGTGTTTTTTAAAAATCTTTCTTACCCACATATTGTGCTAAATTTTGGTTATTACTAAATGTACTAGTTATACTAACCATAGATTAACTTTGACCCCATCCAAATTTCCAAATTGGACCTCTAAAATAGTATTAGAAAGAGCAAATAAAAATTCCAGAAAATCTGAGTTAAAGTCAGATTATAAGACCAAGATCAATTATTAAAGTTTAGAGTTTATTTGGGAATCAAACATGTGTACCTGGAGTTTCTGTTAAACAGAGGCCAAGCCCTGGGCTGAAGCTGTCGGGAGGCAGAAGGGCAGAATCTTGGCCCAGCCCAAAGTGCATTGGAAACAGCATGCAGAGACCCTTTGCAGCTTTGGGTACAGAGTGTGCCTTCTCTTCCTACCCTTGCACCAGAACAGACACTAGCACATGAGTCTCCACAAACTAAGGAGACATCTGGACCCTTGACTGAAATTACTATTGTTCATCCAAATGTTAAGAGTGCATGTATATTTCACATAAAGGCATAGTCTGAAACCAAAATAGTTTTAATTACGAAATTTATCTTTGAGTAGGCAATTAAGTAAAACACTTTTTTCTATAAAAGGAAACATTTTCTCCATATGTTTTTTCAAGTGTTTTCAACAACTGTACTGGGAGAACATAGAGGCCCTTTCAGTGATCAGCAACTGGCCGGCCCCTGGAGCTGTGGGCTGGGGCAGTGCTTCTGAGCACTGGTTGTAGGCTCAGGGGAGAATTTAAAACTGAGGCAACGAAGACAAGGAATAGGGGACGGGTGAGGGTGAGAGGACTGGGCAGGAAAGAGAATGCATGTCCACAGAAGGGTAGGTGAATGCCAAATGTTTTACCCTTTATTCAGTGCAAGAGCTTCATCTTTTACACTATTCGTATAGTGTACTCTAGATACATACTATATACCTTTTATATTTCTTTTTCTTTTTCTTTTTTATTGTTGAGGATTCATTGAGGGTACAAGAAACCAGGTTACACTGGTTGTATTTGTTAGGTAAAGTCCCTCTTATAATTGTGTTATTTTATTTTATTTTTTTAGAGACAGAGTCTCACTCCGTTGCCCTTGATAGACAACCTCCAACCTCCAACGGCAACAGTAGACAATGGCAACCTCCAACTCCTGGGCTTAGGCGATTCTCTAGCCTCAGCCTCCCGAGTAGCTGGGACCATAGGCTCCCACCACAACGCCCGGCTATTTTTTGTTGTTGTTGCAGTTTGGCTGGGGCCGGATTTGAACCTGCCACCCTCTATGTATGGGGCGGGCAACCTACCCACTGAGCCACAGGCACCACCCCCATACAATATTTAAATGATCTTATTTACTGAATTCAGAGCTTAGCTTGAGAACAGTGATATCTGTGTAATCAGTTTCTCCCCTTATCCCATGTCCACCAACAGGTCAGGTCTTCTGACCTCCTTTTTTGACTCCTACAATTAAGTGAACTCTAAAACCGTAAGGTATTTTTGCTGTTGGAGTCCACAGCAGACATATGTGTTACTTAATATTTTCAGGTTTTGATTAAAATTCAGTGCTCTAGTTTTGTTTGAAAAGAAATTTTCAAAATGTCAGATGGGAACAAAACTTATTTTCTATTTGGACCATCACAAACTTTCCAGTAAACTGAAAATATAGTTAACCTAGTTTATTTAGGCAGAATATACAAGTGGATCAAAATGGGCTTTTTTATTTGTAGGAATGAATTAGAGCTATAATCTTAGCATTTGGGGACACCATTGCAGGAAGATTGCTTGAGACCAGGAGTTTGAGACCATCCTGATGAACATAGCAAGACCCCGTTTCTACATAAAAATTAAAAATTAACTCGGCATAGTGGTACATGCCTGTAGTCCCAGCTAATTGGAAGGCTGAGGCAGGAGAATCGCTTGAGTCCAGGAGTTTGAGGTTACGGTGAACTGTGAGGATGTACTGCACTCTGCCTTGGGCAGCAGAGACAGACCATGTCAGGGGGGGAAAAAACTAAAAAATTCCTCATGACAGTTGATAATTTATACTAGCATTAGTGGTTATTTCTTTCTCAGGCCATAATGAATTAAATTAAGTGCAACAAGCTTGCTTGCTTGCTTGCTTTCTCGCTCTTTTCTTTCTTTCTTTCTCACTTTTTCTTTCTTTTTTTTTTTCTTTCTCCTTTCCTTTCCCTTCCTTTCCTTTCCTTTCTTTCCTTCCTTCCTTCCTTCTTTTTTTGAGACAGACTCTACTCTGTCACCCTCAGTAGAGTGCTCTGGTATCATAGCTCACAGCAACCTTGGTTTCTTAGACTCAAGTGATCCTCTTGCCTCAGCCTCCCAAGTAGTTGTGACTACAGGTTCCTACCACAAAGCCTGGCTAGTTTTTCTATTTTTAGTAGAGATGGGGCCTCAATCTTACTCAGGCCCATCTTGAACTTGTGAGCCTCGGCCTCCCAGAGTGCTAGGATTACAGGCATGAGCCACCTCCCCTGCCAGAAAGTATATTTTCTAGCTGGAGAAGACCCCACTAACGTAGGTAAAACACTAGGATATTGGCTACAAATGGGGCTGAGTAAAAAATGAGAAGCACTTAGAACAATGGTTCTCAACCTGTGGGTCACGACCCCTTTGGGAGTCAAAAAACCCTTTCATAGGGGTCGCCTAAATGCGTCCTGCATGATATTTACATTACAATTGATAACAGTAGCAAAATTATAGTTATGAAGTAGCAACAAAAATAATTTTATGGTGGGGGGGCACCACAATTTGAAGAACTATATTAAAGGGTCACAGCATTAGGAAGGTTGAGAACCACTGACTTAGAACTTCAGCCCAGGAAAAGATGGACCAGCAGATTTGTAGACATTGAGGTGCCCTAATAGAAAAGAAGTATGATAGCTTGGTCAGGCTGCTGTGACAAAAATACCATAAACTGAGTGGCTTAAACAGTATTTGTTTCTCACAGTTCAGGAAGCTGGGAAGTCCAAGATCAAGGCACTGCTGGATTCAGTGTCCAGTACTGTGTCTTTACTTGGTGGTAGAGGGGATAGAGGGCTCTCCCCAGTCTCTTTTACATGGGTGCCAATCCCATTTATGAGGGCGTCTCCCAAAGTCTTTGCCTCCTAATACCATCACCTTGGAGATCAGGATTTGGAGGGGACATACACATTCAGTTCATAACAAGTAGTAACTTGGGTGACATTCTGATTTTGGATGGACAGCAGAGAAGGGAGGGTATTTTAGGCCAGAGAAACAGCATGAGGCAAAGCCAGGAAACAAATGTGAACAATAAAGTCCTGGCTAGGATAAGGGGGTTGTGTTTGGCAATAGAGAAAGATAGGTTGGCTCAGCAGGTGGGACGAGGATATGGGAGAAACTAGAGACTTTGGGGGAGGAATTTAGAGAGGATTCTTTGATGGAGATCATGGGGAGACATTGCAGGTTCTTGAGCAGAAATATGCCATGAAATTTAAGAGAAAGTAATTACTCTTGTATCTTGAAAGGTAATAGTTTGAATCTATTGGCTGTTTTTCATTTTTTTCCTTGTACATTCCCATCATTTCCTCATTTGCTGTGTACTGCTCATGTCTGCTTCAGCGTGGTACGTCCTCGCACCCATCTCTCCTGTATTTCCAGTCTCTGATGACTGTGACCCTAGAAAAACCTGGAAAGCAGGACTTCTGCGGTCCCAAGTTCTCTGGCCTCCAGCTATGCTCAAAAGCAGTGTAGATTCACTGACACAGCACAGTGCTGCCTCTGCCCTCCAGGGCAAGCAGGACTCTTGGAAACCATGCAAGTCACAGTAACGTGATCCTGCAAACCTGCACCCATGGGGTGCTGGTGTAGCCATCCCTTCAAGCAGCAATTTTTAGGCACATCCATCCATGGGATGCACTTTTGCCCTAATTACTTGTTACTTTCCACCTACAAACCACCTCACTATTTTCTACTGCAGTCTGACTTAGAGACGTTGGAGGCCAGGTCTCTAAGAAAGACATTCCTTCCATATATAATTTTCTCCCATATAATTGCACACGATTAACATCTCTATGCTTTCTGTAACTTTTTTTTTAAAGGAGGGGATATAGTGCTTGCTTCAGCAACACATATACCAAAATAGGAACAATGCAGAGATTAGCATGGCTCCTGCACAAAGATAACACACAAATTCATGAAGTGTTCTATTTTTTTTTTTAAAGGGAGGAGGAAGTATGGAGGAAAGTCAGCATTTTAATTAATGTCTCTAAATCCATTCACTAATTCTGAAAAAATAAAATGCATCTATCCTAATGGAATCTTTATATAAACTGGAAACTCCTTGTCAACTAAATCACATTTATTTAGTCTAGTATTAGACTGCTGCTTTTTTTTTTTTTTAACCAGATGGAAAACATTAGCAGTAATAGTGAACAAACATATCCAGGCTCCCAGAGGTCATTTTTAACCACCATTAACAATCTGGTTTTCACAGATTAGTAATATACAAAAGGCAACGGTCCAGTAAAAGAGACACAAAAGGCAGCTGAAGCTTGTGTGCTCCTTATTTACTTAACATTTAGCCATTTTTAAAAGACCCTTTGTAGGTGAGACATGTGAGTCTTTTAAACTTAGAACTGGCAAACTGTATCTGGAAGTTGCACCAAAATAACTGTTTGAAATAGACACGAAGACAAAATGTTAACAACACCGCCACGAAGCTGATGAAGAGAAAGGCTTGTTATTAATGCCAGATTTGCCCGTGGTTAAGATCATTTGCATTTACTAGCTACTCATTTAGTGATTTCGTACTCACGTAAAGCTCCTTGTTTATGGTTTCGTACCCATGCTCACACAGCAGCTTTACGTGGTATGAAAATAGGAGAAAAGAGCTACATTTTTACATATCATGTTTGAATTTTTAAATTAAATCATCTGATTAAAACATGATAGAAGATAACAATCCACAAAAGATATTATTCTAATAAGTCAAAAATAATATGGTCTCTAATGTGATAAGAACGTAGTTTTTAGAATTGCCCATTCAGGAAGAAAGATCTCTTTTAAATCGTATTTTGAGTGGTTGGGAAAGCTGTAGAATGAAGCCATCTCATCATGCCCTGTAGATATCACAGAGATGTGTACCTGTTTGTTTCTTCGCTTTTTCAGATTCAGCAAGTTTCATGTATGTGAGAATGAAACTTCCACACATTCAACTGGTTAACTGAGGCGAGAGTAAGCATAGGCAAACGTGCATATACAGGGGGGCCATAAAGTTCATGTCCAAGTTAAAACAGTGTGCCATTGTAAACTGCACATGAACTTTATGGTCACCGTGTACTATTCATTCGTCTTCACTTCAAAATATCACTATTCTTGGTTTATATATTAATGATTTGAAATCATCTTCATGTTTCTCTTCGTTTAGGTAATAGGATGGTTTAGGAATTACATTGAGGTCTATATTTAAAGTGTTTCACAGTTTAAATATTACTAAACTCATTATTTTCTTATTATATGGAGAAGAGAGCCTAGCTGTCAAGGTTCAAGAGTATATCTGAGCCTATAAAGAAAGCTCACGTCCAAAATGAGAATGGCAATGAGGTTGTGGGAATGTGATCTAGATATTAGAGGAAATGCCTCCTATTAAGAAACTTAGGGGCGCTAAGGATATTATTATCAGACTCCTTCCCCTAACTATGTATATGTCCTGGAATATTTGCATATGTGTACCTTTCTGTATATGTATATATAGTTAGACACACGTATCCCTGCTAGTCATCAGGTGAAATGCAGAATCACCATTTTAATGTCACGTTCAGGGTTTTCTTGTCTGTCCGTGATTCTATCAGTTACTGCTTTGGGAAGAATTTCTGTTCCCCTCTTCGCAGAAATGTGTATCTTGACAATGAAATCTCCCAGCATTCGTACAAGTGCCCAGGGCCATTACGTTCCATTTCTTGCTAAAAAGAAAGAAAGTAGCAAGGAGATAATTGAAACCATGACTTCCAACCCATGCTGTAATTTAGAATTACAACCTCCTGGGGTCCCTTGCAGAAACAACTAAAGACAACTTGAGTGTTTATTATGTGTCCCGCGCTGCGCTAGACACTCGTTGGCCATACAGAAGAGAGTCCCTGCCTCCAAGTAGCACTGGCCGGCTTGGTGAGGAAAGGAGTTAGCAAACAGCACAGAGCCTGAGACCGGGCAAGGTGTGCTGGGGCCACAGAGGAAGGCTCACTCCTGGGGGTGGGACGGGAATCCATGAAACCTCAGGAGCCCCTTTGGCTTTATTGCCACGCCTCTTTAGACAGAAACAGAAAGCTTAATTGAATCACCTGAATATCAGGGATCACAGTTTGAAATTCAGAAGAAAAAATTCTGATTAGCTAAATGGTTGGATTTCTTTGGTTTATTCAGGTTTTCTGACTATAGGACTCAGTTTATGACTATAGATTAGTTTGTCATCCTTCTGTAATAATTAGCACATAAGTAAGGAGATGAGACTAACAATCTAAACTCTATTCACAATATAATTTTTGCTGGTCAAATATGAGTAGTTAAGAGATTACCATCAAGCAAGTAACTATCTACAAACTAACAGGATAATTTATTTCCTATCTTCGTTTTAGGTTAATTTTTCTTTTAAAAAAAACTATGAATTGTTAGGAAACTCCTCCAGGCTTATAAATTCTCTAGGAAAGACAACACACAGGCCCCTGTCACTTCTTTCTCACTGTCCCAAATTTTGGTGGCCCAAGAAGGCTCAGAGTCTCCTGCTTCTGCGGTCGTAAGGGCCTTCCTTCCAGCTGCAGCCAGCCATTCTCATTTCAAGGAGCTGTGGGACAATGATCGGGTTTTTACCAGAAATGTAGCCTGTCCAGCTTCCTCTTTTGCCCATTCTGGCCATTATCTTTGTTGTAAAGGATGGACTGTAAGGCGAGGGGCACGCGGGGGAGATAACTTTTCAGGAATCTGCCTTCCCGGAGCTTCCATCAAAGGCCAGGCCGCCTCTGCCCTCATTTTCCCAACCTCTCCTTTACGGTTCAGGGGAATTGTACACGAGTAAATGAGGACAACGTTTGGTGCCGAGGACTTCTAATTTCAGGTTATATTCAATAAGTTCTTTTGCAGCTATGGAAAGAGTAGGTACAGAAAATAGCCTATACAAAACTAATATTCTTTTTTCTTTCTTAAAGGTGAACACACACAAGAAACCAATTCACCTCATTCACTCAAAAAGGATGTAGAAAATATGGGGAAAGGTAAAGAAAAGTTTGGATTCCATAGAACTCCTCTTAGCTTTAAAAGACTGTGGAGATAATAGGAGGATATTTTTGTTCTACACCATATTTTAAGCTTGACAAGCAACATATGAATAATATATGGACCATTGGGTGGATATAATTGAGATTAATGCATACATATCAATCAATACATGACACTGTAATATAATACTTTAAAATAATATATTACATTGATTTATATTCATGGATTTCTGCACAAAATCTATCCTATGTCTATGCAACACTTTTTAAACTGGTAAAATATTTTGTCTTATAATAATAAATTGCTGTATACAACAGTTCTCTGGAGAGTTATTTGTAAGGATTAGTAAAATGACTCTTCTTTTTTTCTTTATTAGAAGAACTTCAGAAGGTTTTATTTGAACAAATAGATTTGCGGAGACGACTAGAACAAGAATTTCAAGTGTTAAAAGGGAACACGTCTTTCCCAGTATTCAGTAAGAAATCATTTTTATTTCATTGCGTTTGTGATAAGTGAAGACATTTCTATTATTAGGCTTAAGAATGTGATTCTGTGTATTAAGTGATTGGGCCAAGTAGTCTGTGTAAATATTCATCAATTTACTTTTCTTTTATTTATGCTTTGAATCCGCTCACAGACAGAATTTCTTAACCTTTTGGTATAAATTTATTGATAGAGGTTTGTTTGTGGGTGTGTTGTAGCTTTAAAAATATGTGTGTAAAGATATAACTAAGTTATCTCAGTATATTTAAGTATTCAGATTATAAATTTTTAATCAAAAGAACTGCTCAGGTATTTATATTCTCTGAGGCAGGAAAAACCCAAACAAAAAAATAACTTTTATTCTCAGATACTTCTGGATAATTTTTTGGTGTTTTAGATATGTATAAGTATGAAAATTTAAACTTTTATAATTCAATGTACACATATCTATTTAATTAAATTAAATGGGTATAATTTTAGTAGTTTTAGCTTTTCCATTCTAAATAAGATTCCACTCCAAATTTGGGGGCAGGAGATTTATATCATAAAAACTATTGGTTTTATTCCTAAAGGCTTGGAATTTCCAAAGAGTCTATTATAGGTGTCCAGATTTCTACAATTTACTCACCCGGTCTGGGTCACATTTGGACAAGTACATCACAGAGGTGTTTTTCAATCTTTTTGGAGATTCATTTAGTCAAATTCCCTGGTCCAGAGCAGGAAAGGTGGGGAAGCAAGTAGTATGCAAACTTACTTTTCTAATTATGTACATTTAAAAATTACTTTTTTTCTGGGACACTGTTTTTAGAATGCCCCCTGGTGTTAATTCAGGCATCACAAAACTCAAGTTGACAACTCCAGTGCTAGAGCCATGGACTGGCATCTGGAAGATTTTTCAGTAACTGTGATCATTTCAATAATGTCAGCCTGAAGGCTGCATTCACCAGAGCTTCCTGAGTGCAGTCATCAGCACGACTGAAAGACACACTTGGGGAGCGTTTTTGAATAGTTCCAGCATCCCGGTGACATACTGAACTGATTTCACCAGAACGCTCAGTGGGGGTCAAAACGAAGCCGTAACTGCATGATGGAAGGGAGCTCTGACCACAGGAACAGGAGGGTCTGCCAAGTCTGTGATCTCTCCTTACCTACGGGGCGGGCTGTTGGAACTCAGGGAGCTTCGCTGATTCTGAATTCAGAGAATGTCTGCTGGACCTTAGAATAGGATTGAAGAGGAAAATGGCCAATAGCTTTTTTTTTTTTTTTCCAAGATACAATCTCCCTTTGTTGTCCAGGCTAGAGTGCTATGGCGTCAGCCTAGCTCACAGCAACCTCAAACTCCTAGGTTCAAGTGATCCTCTTGCCTCAGTTTCCCAAGCAGCTGGGACTATAGGCACAAGCCACCACACCTGGATAGTTTTTTCTATTTTTAGTAGAGACAGGGTCTCGCTTTTGTCCAGGCTTTTGAACTCCTGAGCTCAAGGGATCCTCCCACCTCACCTCCCAGAGTGCTATGATTACAAGTGTGAGCAGCCGTGCCTGGCCTTGGCCAATAGCTTTTGATAGTGTTTTTAGGGACATCATGATATTTGTAACTTCAAGAAAAGGAGAAACATTTTTAAAATATCTATATTTTAAGATATAGATAAGATATAAGGTAAGATAAGATATATATTATATATTTAAGGTGCTTTGAAAGGACCCAGGATTCTCTGACTTCTAATACTGTTACCTTACAAAAAACTACACAGTTCCTTACAGCACAGAGAAGACATTGAATGATTTGTTCCCCCATCAGCTGATGTGTATCTAATTGTTGCGTGTGCACACCCCTTCTTTTAGATCCAGCAGAGTGGGTCCAAGTCCCATTGAATCCCTAACGTGCCTTCCTAACTCCCTGGGAGGCCAGTGTAGCTATAATTGATCCCATTAATAAAAGCTAATTAATAATCATCTTAAGGAATTAAGTAATTCACAGTAATTGATATTTTCCTTATTAACTGCTCTATCATACAACATGTACATGTTTCTGTTAAACAAAACGTTAGAATGTTACAATACAACTGGCCAGTTTCAATTCAGACCTATCGTTCATCACTTTGATCAGAATGAATATGCATCCTCTGTGATTGCCACATATATGAAACACTTCAATTAAACAACAACAACAAAAATTTCCTCTTTTTTATCTGCAACGCACTCCACTGACCAAGGAAGTGGCATGTGTATGCCCAAGATTGAATAATGCGTGGTTTAGACACACCGCAAAGAGGCAGTCAATTTCACACGGATGAAAATAGCAAATGCACATTATGTGCTTGTTAACTAAATGTGAGGGGCTGTGGGGCTAGCAGACAGATTTAGATTCACTCAGATGAAAAGAGGAAAACTGAACTTTGTAAAGCCGTGTTGGAAGGAAGCAAAGAGGAATTCTCATGAGAGTTTTGCAAAGCCTTTTAGTCGGACCGTGCAGAGGCCCTCTTAGTTGCGACACTCCAAACTCAGTTTATTTGGAACACTGGAGACCCAGGCTGAGAGTTAGATCATGTGACATTTAAGAACTCAAGCTCAAAAGTCTACTGGTTCACTGTTGGCCTCTGCTACTTATTGGTTGTTTGACCTTTGAAACTATAGAATGGGGCAGATAATTCCTGTCTCATAGGATGATGAGAGGACTAAGTGAGAGGACCCATGTGAAGTGCTGCACAGCTACTGGGCACAGAATAAGTGCTCAGTAAGTGTCCGCTGCAATTATGATGGTAATTATGAAGCAGAAAGAGGAAAAAGAGAAGATCGGTGTTGAGTCCTAGAAAAGCATTTCTAAAATCAGGTCTCAACGTTGGGCTTCTTGTTGT